GGCTGGAGCGGGCGGCCTGCAGGAAGGGAGGCTGGAGCGGGCGGCCTGCAGGAAGGGAGGCTGGAGCGGGCGAGCTCAACAGACCTCGGTGGTAAAGAATTTAACAGATTCCCAACCTTCAAGATATTTAGATTTGGCAAGCAGATTGTGTAAGTTAACAATAAAACATCGTAAAGGTGGGATAATAATCGTGGATAAGGTAATGGAAATCTGGATAGATACTGACTTGAGTCACTGACAAAATGTCTCGCTACTCATGAGGAGGTTTGTCAATGATCAATTCAGTAACATGTACATGAATATGAACATAACAGGTATGATAAACAGCAACTGAAAGCCTTTTTAGAAAGGAGCCATGCAGTAATATATAAAATGTTCAATCAAAGTTTGGAAATCAGCCAAACTGTAAGTTATTGTTTGCACCAAAGTGGGCTGGACATGCTCAGAATTTGTTGCAGGTGGTGGGAGGATATACAGATATTTCTCCTACAATGCGATAGTTGTGTTCTTGTGTGACCTCGCACTCGAGCAAATGGTGCTGTAGAAAATTGCGTTATAGGGAAATCGCTGTAGAAAATTGCTATACCTGTACAGCAGAAAGTTTGCATTATCCAAACAGCATCCACTATTCATCAATTGTATTACAGCCAATTCGCGTTAACAGAACATAGAACTACCTGTAGTCTATTTCAGTTAGTGTTTCGTAGTAAGCCTGAAATTCCATCAATAATGAGTGATCTGCCCCCAGCCTGGGGAGGGGCTACAATTAGTTATACTTTCTCAGAACATTTAATATACTGCATGTAGGCTGAAAGACTTTCAATGAACCCGAAGTCTTAAAGAATTCGGTCAGCCTTAAGATACAAGGTAATGCTGTTGAAAAATCAGTTAGGATCAGGGAGACAATGATTAATTTGCAGAGAGAGGAGCTTAAAGAACAGAGACCCCTAGGGAAGGAAAAATTTTGTGAAACTTGAAAGGGTTCAGAAAAGATTTACAAGAATGTTTTAGGGCTAGGAGAGTTTGAACTATAGGGGGAGGTTGAATAGGCTGGGGCTATTTTCCCAGCAGCATCAGAGCTGAGGGGTGACCTTATAAAGGTTTATAAAATCATGAGGGGGCCATAGATAGACTCAATATCCCAGGTCTTCTTCCCAGGTTTAAGGTGAGAGGGGAAAGATTTTGAAAAGGGACTAAGGAGCAACTTTTTCATGCAGAAGGTGGTGCATGAATGGAATGAGCTGCCAGAGGAAGAGGTGGAGGCTGGTACAATTACAGCATTTAAAAGGCATCTGGATGGGTCCATGAACAGTAAGGGTTTGGGCCAAATGCTGGCAAATGGGACCAGATTAATTTAGGATATCTGGTCGGCATGTACGAGTTGGACCGAAGCATCTATTTGCACACTGTCGAACTCTGACCCTATGCCCGAGGAAGGTTATTGATAAATAGGAAAAATACCGCATGGAACAAACTGTTTAAGTACACTCTTCAAGGTTGTTTGGTATTGATTACAAATTTCTGAAGATGTTCTAGAAAATGACGAGGAACTGTCTAAATGTTGCACAGCTATGAAGATAGAACTGCCATAACTGGGGAGGTATTGCCTAGTGGAATTATTGCAAGACTATTTATCCAGGTAATATTCTGGGGACCTGGGTTTGAATCTTGTCATGACAGATGATGGACTTTAAATTGAATTAAAATCTGGAATTAAGAATCTAATGATGACTGAAACCACTGTTATAAACTGACGTTTTCCTCACTACCATCAGTTCTGAGGAAAGGTCACTCGACCCAAAACATTAACTCTGATTTCTGTCCAAGGTGATGCCAGATCTGCTGAGCTTTTTCAGCAATTTCTGTTTTTGCTCTTTCGGGTTTCAGGAAACTGCTGTTGATTGTTGGAAAAACCCAACTGGTCCACCAATGTGCTTTTAGGGAAGGAAACTGCAGTCTTAATCTGGTCTCGCCTACATTTCATTGTGTACTGACAGCAATGTAGCTGCCTCTTAACTGCCCTCTGGATGGTTTTAGATGAGCAATAAATGTTGGCCTAGCCAGTGCCACCCAAATTATTTGAATGCAAAAAAAAAATTTGCAGTTTGTCTGATGATGGACACATCAGTCCTTATTGTCATTATGAGCTCATTGGTCCAAACGGACAACTAATAAAAGTGCTTACTATAGTCAAATGATTAACTGAAGAGGTATTCAACGGACAAATCTAACTAGTATAAGTAGAGCAGCAAAACCCACTGGAAAATATGGAAGTTGAATGAATGTTTGGATGAAGGGCAGGAGGTTAGGCTTGTGAATTAGGAACATAAAGTATAAAGATGGAAGGTAAGAGAGTGCTTTAAATCCAGGAGAGAGCATGCGTTTTGAAAGAGATCAGGATCTGTTGAAATAAATCCTATTAATAGGTAGATTAGATCAACCAGGAGCAGTCCAGAAAAACAGAGGCTGTTGCTTAACAAGGACAAGAAATATAGGGCAAACCTGGAAATGCACCGGGAGCAGAAGCCCACATGATCAGGGAGTCTTAGTGGTCATGTACTAAGTAGAATAGAAGTTAATAAAAGATGCCAAGAAATACAAAGCTGGAGAGAATTTGGAGTGTATAGATGAAAAAATAGGAGACAACGAGCTGATCACAAAGGTGGACATGCATGGAAACAGTGTCACCTGATGGGGTTTAGAAGAGTAAAGCAAGGCTTTAGATACAAAGGTAGATTCACCAACAGTGAGGAAAGTAATTTTGAAAATATTCTTTGTTTTGTTAGCAATAAGTGCTTGTGAGTGTTGATCAGATATGCCAGAAGACTGGAGGGTGGCTAATGCGGTGCCATTATTTAAGAAAAGTGGTAAGGAAAAGCAAGAGAACTATAGACCGGGGAGGCTGATGTCAATGATCGGTAAGTTGTTGGAGGAGATTCTGAGGACAGGATTTACATATATCTGGAAGGGCAAGGACTGATTAGGGATAGTCAGTATGACTTTGTGTGTGGGACATCATGTCTCATGAACTTGATTGACTTTTTGGAAGAGGTGACAAAGAAGATTGATGAAGGCAGTGTGGTAGATGTTGTCTATATGGACTTCAGCACAGCATTTGACAAGGTGCTGTGTGGTAGACTGGTTAACAAGATTAGATCACATGGAATGCAGAGCGAGCTAGCCAATTTGATGTAAAATTAGTTTAAAGATAGGAGGCAGAGGGTGGTGGTAGATGGTTGATTTTTGGACTGGAGGCTTGTGACCAGCGGTGTGTCACCAAAGTTGGTGCTGGGTCCACTGCTTTGTGCCATTTATACACATGATTTAGATGTGAATATAGGAGGTATGGTTAGTAAGTTTGCAGATGACACCAAAATAATGGTGTAGTGGACAGCGAAGAAGATTATCTCAGAATACAACAGGACCTTGATCAGATGGGCAGAAGAGTGGCAAATGAAGTTTAGTTTAGATAAATGTGAGGTGTTGCATTTTGATAAGGCAAATCAGGGCAGAACTTATACACATAATGGTAGGGTTCTGAGGAGTGTTACCAAACAAAGAGACATAGGGGTACTGGTTCGTAGTTCCTTGAAAGTGCAGTCACAGATCGACATGATAGTGAAGAATGCATTTGGTACACTTGCCTTCATTGACCAGTACATTGAGTTTATAAGTTGGGATGTCATGTTGCAGCTGTATGGGACGTTAGTTTGGCCACTTTTGGAATACTGCATTCAGTTCTGGTCTCCCTGCTATAGGAAAGATGCTGTTAAACTTCAAAGGATTCAGAAAAGATTTACAAGGATGTTGCCGGGATTGGAGGCTTTGAGCAGTAGGGAGAGCCTGAATATGCTGGATGTTTTTTTTCCCCTAGGGCATTGGAGGCTGAGGGGTGACCTCATAGCGGTTTATAAAATCATGAGGGGCTTGGATAGGGTGAACAGTGAAGGTATTTTTCACGGTGTAGGAGAGCCCAAAACTAAAGGCACAGTTTAAGGTGAGAGGGGAAAGATTTAAAAGGGATCTGAAGGGCAATGTTTTCATGCAGATGGTGTTGCAAGTGTGGAACAAACTGCTCAAGGAGATGGTGAAGGATGGTACAGTTACAGCATTTAAAAGGCATTTGAGTGGGTGCATGAATTAGGGAGGGATACGAACCAAGCGCTGGCAAGTGGGACTAGATCAGTTTAAGATATCTGGTCGGCACAGACTATTTGGACTGAAGATTCTGTTCCTCTACTGTATAACTCTATGACTGTAATTGAAATTAAAGCTGCATTTGAATTGAATCAGATTTATTGTCACATGTACTCAAATGAGTACAGGAAAAGTTTATAAGTTGCCACTTGCAGCACCATCTTGGGTACAAAGGTACCTGGGTACAATCCTTACTTACCGAATAGAGAAATGATAAATGAATTTATATTACAGCTATAGATCAGAATATTTCTGCAGGGAGATTGGTTTAAGAGAGAAGTGTTTCTTCCTCCTCTGGAAATTAAACAAATGTGGATCTGGCCTAAAGGATGCTTCTAAAATTTTGTACTTTCCAGATCCGTCTTATTAAAACTGGGTTGTCTTCAGTTAACAGTAGTCTCGTTATATTTTACTGGCACCACTCCAAAAGCTTGTGATTTCAAATAAACCTGTTGGACTATAATCTGATCATGTGACTTCTGGCTAGGAAGCTCAGCTGGTCTGGCAGCGTCTGTGGAGAGAGAGCAAAGTTAACGCCTTGAATCCAGTGATCCTTCTTCAGAACTGGGATTTTGGATCACTGGATTTGTTAGGAAAAGTATTGGAAGAATTTCCAAAAAGGGATTAGCAGCAATACTCATTGATATGACATTGATAAGAAGTCACTTTGGGATGATATACACTCAATGAAATATAAAATAGGAAAGTAAAGACTGAGGATTGATATTGCAGTTTTAAAACAGATGCTGGAGATCGAGAGATCTCCAAATTGAAATGGATAGGTAGCAGCAGTCAGCTATCTGATTGTTTTCCAAAAAAATCAGCAAGTTCTGATAAATTATTGGACATGCTGCAAGTTAGGCTGATGATGGATACAATTCCATGTTCTACGTCCTGGTTACTTGCTCATTCAGCCTGTTCCCTCTTAAGGTCATATCTCAACAATTGTCACGTTCCTATTTGTGAGATGTGTGTGCAATTTGCCAGTGGCTTTTACTATGGTGCAACAGTGATTACATTTCTAAAGTATTTAAAAGGCTGCAAAGCCTTTTAGTTTGTCTTTGAGTCGTGACTAGTAGCAAGTTTGTCTCTCTTTTAGTAGAGTTACTAATAGAAAACTATCCACTATCGTATCAGTAACAGTAATATTAATAAATCCTTGCAATGGACCCTGATTTCTGTTCCTTCTGTCTGATCCCCAGGCTGGATGATAACCGTCTCACAGATTCTTGTACTGACGATCTTGCATCTGCCCTTAATTCAAACCGGACACTGACAGAGCTGAATCTGGAGTACAACTCTTTCACTGATAAATCAGTCCCTGCACTCTGCCGTATCATAATGAACTGCACTGGTCTAGCTTGGATCAAGTGAGTGATTTATGTTCATGTTTGCATTAATTACTAAAATCTAAATCTAAGTCAGTCACTCATTTAGTCGATAATTGTCGGTAATTATGATTGAAACAGTAACCTCAGTCACTTTAGACACTGCTGTTCAATCTGTGTAATCTGTTTAATCTCTTTCAGACTGTGGGAGAATAAGTTCAGTTCAAATGGAAAAAATCAACTTAAGTCACTCCAGGATACAAGACGTGGACTCAATGTGGTGTTGTCAGCATGTTAATTATCCCTGTCACATGAATTTTGTTTGATGATTCTCTGTCCCTCACCTGTAATCACCCAGTGCTCAAGGTTGGAATAAAAACTGAAAGAACTGTGGATGCTGTAAATCAGGAACAAACACAAAGTTGCTAGAAATGCTCACCAGGCCTGGCAGCATCTGTGAAGGAAAAAACAGAATTAACGTTTTGGGTCCGGTAACCCTTCCTCAGAACTGTTAACTATGTTTTTCCCTTCACAGATGCTGCCAGACCTGCTGAGCTTTTCCAGCAACTTTTTTTTTGCTCAAGGTTGGAACCCTGTTGACCATTCCCAGCTTGAGCTGTCTGAGGGTCACCACCCACTGAGAGGACAGAGGCCCAGCCACAGAGTCACAAGACTCAGGGGCCTGGCCCCACAATGCTGTATTTGCAGCATATGGAGTTATAGAGTCATAGAGATGTACGGCACAGAAATTGACCCTTTGGTCCAATTCGTCTATGCTGACCAAATATTCTAAATTAATCTAGTCTCTTTAGCAAGCATTAGGCCCATATCCCTGTAAACCTTCCTTTTGTATACCCATCCAGATGCCTTTTAAATGTTGTAATTATACCAGTCTTCACTACCTGCTTTGGCATCTCATTCCAACACGCACCATCCTCTGCCCCTTAGGTCCCTTTTTAAATCTTTCCCCTTTCACCTCAAACCTATACCCTACCCTGGGGAAAAGACTTCTCCCTATCCATACCCCTCATGATTTTATAAACTTCTGTAAAGTCACCCCTCAGCCTCCGACACTCCAGGGAAAATAGCCCCAGCCTTTTCACCATCTCCCTATAGCCTGCAACCCTGGCAACATCCTAGTCAGTCTTTTCTGAACCCTTTCAAGTTTCACAACATCCTTCCTATAGCACGGAGACCAGAATTGAACGTAGCATTCCAAAAGTGGCCTGACCTATGTCCTATACAACTACAACATGACCTCCCAACTTCTATATTCAATGCACTGACCAATTAAGGCAAGGCTACCAAATGCCGCCTTCAAACCCTGTCTACTTGTGACTCCATTTTTAAGGAACTATGAACCTGCACTTGAGGTCTCTTTTTTTGCGGCAACACTCCCCAGGACTTTGCCATTAAGTGTATAAATCCTGCCCTGGTTTGCCCTACCAACATGCATCACCTCACATTTATCTAAATTAAACTCCATCTGCCACTCCTCAGCCCGTTTGCCTATCTGATCCAGGTCCCATTGTACTCTGAGGTAACCTTTGCTGTCCACTACACCACCAATCTTCGTATCATCTGCAAATCTACTCACCTTTTCTCCTATATTCAAATCCAAATCACGATATAATAACAAGAACCAGTGGACACAGCACCAATTGTTGTGCCACACTGCTGGTCACAGGCCTCCAGTCTGAAAAGCAAGCCTCCAACACCACCCTCTGTCCCCTACCTTTGAGCCAATTTTGTATCCAAATGACAAGTTCTCCCTGTATTCCATGTGATCTAACCTTGCTAACCAGTCTATCATGCGGAACCTTGTCAAACGCCTTACTGAAGTCTATATGGACAGCGTCCACTGCTCTGCCTTCATCTGTCTTCTTTGTCACTTCAAAAAACTCAATCCAGTTAGTAAGACACAATTTCCCACAGACAAAGCCATGTTGATTATCCCTAATCAGTCCTTGCCTCCCCAAATACATGTAAATCCTGTCCCTCAGAATCCCCCCCAACGACTTACCCACCAGTCTGTAGTTTTCTGGGTTTTCCTTACAACCTTTCTTAAATAATGGCAGCACATTAGCTAACCTCCAGTCTTCCAGCACCTCACCTGTGCCTATCGATGATACAATTTTCTCCACAAGGGGCCCAGCAGTATCTTCCCTAGCTTCCCACAAGGTTTTAGGGTATACCTGGTCAGGTCCAAGAGATTTAACCACCTTTTATGCATTTTAAGACACTGAGCATCACCTCCTCTATAATATGGACACTTTTCAAGATATCTCTATTTATTTCCCCAAGTTCTCTATCTACCATATCCTCTCCACAGTAAACACTGGTGTGAAATACCCATTAATGTCTCGCCCATCTCCTGCGGTCCCACAAATTGTTGATCCTTAAGAGGCCTTACTGATCTTTAAGAGGCATCATTCTCTCTCTCCCCTCCCCCTACCGCATCCCAAAACCAGCCCAGCTCGTCCCCGCCTCCCTAACCTGTTCTTCCTCCCACCTATCCCCTCCTCCCACCTCAAGCCGCACCCCCATCTCCTACCTACCAACCTCATCCCGCCCCCTTGACCTGTCCGTCCTCCCTGGACTGACCTATCCCCTCCCTACCTCCCCACCTACACTCACCTTTACTGGCTCCATCCCCACCTCTTCGACCTGTCTGTTTCCTCTCCACCTATCGTCTCCTCTATCCATCTTCTATCCACCTCCCCCTCTCTCCCTATTTATTTCAGAACCCCCTTCCCCTCCCCTCCCCCATTTCTGATGAAGGGTCTAGGCCCGAAACGTCAGCCTTTCTGCTCCTATGATGCTGCTTGGCCTGCTGTGTTCATGCAGCTCTGCACCTTGTTGTCTCAGATTCTCCAGCATCTGCAGTTCCTACTATCTCTCATTCTCTCAATTCTTTTGTCCTTAATGTATTTATAGAATCCCTTGAGATTCTCCTTAACAATATTTGCCAAAGCTTTTTCATGTCCCCTTTTTGTCCTCCTGATTTCCCTCTTGAGTATTTGTGAAATCAATCTGGACAAAATGCTGAACATTGTTGCCTGGCACTCCATAATAAATTTAAGTCTAATGAACCATATCTCATACACAGGCCTATAGGACTGAGACATTTTTTTCATCACGTGGGGAACTGAGGGATATGGTGAACAGGCAGGAAAGTAGAGTTGATTATGAAGGTTCTCAAATCTATTGAATGGCAGAGCAGGCTTGTGTTATCTGAATCTTTAGGACCCATTTCAACCAATAGGTTATAAATTAATTTACCCAGGTATCCCATAACGCCAGAACAATCAAATCACTACAGACACAAGTTGGTACAAATACAAACTGTTGCAACTTTGATCAGGAACAAGTAATGGTAAGACTTTAATACTAACAATGCTGTTCCTAATTCTGCTCCACCCCCTTAGTTGTTACAGTACTTCCCAGAGTCTCTTGTAAGTTTAGTCGAGTTTGTGAAGTCACTGTGCTGTCGCTGACTCTGGACGGTTAGTTGGTCATCCAAGCCTCATTACATAAAACGTAGAACAGTACAGGCTCTTCGGCCCACGATGTTGTGCTGACCTATTATCCTACTAAGATCAATCTACCTTGCATACCCTACATTATACTGTCCACCATGTGCCTATCCAAGAGTCGCTTGAAAGTCTCTAAAGTATCTGACTCTGCTACCACTGCCGGCAGCACATTCCACACGCCCACCACTCTGTGTGAAGAACCTACCTCTGACATCTCTCCTATACCTTCCTCCAGTCACCCTAAAATTCTGCCCCCTCGTAATAATCATTTCGGCCCTGGGAAAAAGTCTCTGACTATCCACTCTATGCCTCTCATTGCTTCCCAATGGGGTGAGGCATGTGTATGCACACCAGTGTGAACCCAATCTGGGCTGTGGTGGGACACTGACAATTACACCCAACCTCCTGGCCCCTTTCTCCCTTTTCTTTTGGAAAATAATCCATTGCTGATTTAAAAAACCAACCTTATGCTTGTCAACTTCATGCTCGTCAACTTCACAGCATTGACCAGTTTCATTCACGAAGTTAGTCACGAATGGTACACCCTTCTCATTCAAGTGTATCTCAATGAGAAGAGTTATGAAATGTCTCCTTAAAGCCTGGTCTTAAGTCTTAGTGCCAATTTTAGGCCCTCTGTCACTCACTCCTCACACCCCTCATTCTCCATCACCTTCTCATGCCCCATCCATGTTCCCAACCAACCCCTTGAGCCAACCATATCTACCATAACAACATACGTCCCTCTGTTCCTCCCCATGGCCTCCAGTAGCCCCTCAGCCAACTTTGTGTCAAATTAATAGAGCTCACTCACCACCCTTGTCCCTCAGGATCTCATATGTTTCAGTAAGATAATTTCAATTCAGCTAAATTTCAGTGAGTTTAGGTAGAACCTCCCAAATGTTTATTAGTGTCTGTGAATGTCTTTGTCTAACATTTACAGTCCCCCGCAGAGGGTGATCATGCTGTGACCGTCTGAGTGTTAGGGAGTGATATTCACAGGGTCCATCAGAGGGAGATAGCTGTTAGTGGTGTGTGGGCAGTAACTGGCACTGCCCTGAGTTTAAAAATCGCTCACACAATTTGTGTCAAGCAGCTACTTCCCAGCATTGACAGATGAACTGTTGACGAAAAAATGGAACAACCTCGTAATATCCCTTGATATGTTGCTGGGAAGAAGAAAGTTTGTTTCTTAATCTTGTGTTCAACTCTATCATTTACTTCTGACCAATTTTGTAATACACTTATGTTCGTTTGTATAATAGTCTTATGTTAAATTGTAAATACATTGTTCAATTATATAATGTATTTATCATCATTTGTATATACCTCAAGCTTATTAAAATTGCAGACTTAGCATGTTTGTTTTACGTTTCATTAACTTTGTGCAAAAATCTTGTGTTCATTTATGTATGAGAGCGGGAGTTGCGGCCAGCTGGAATGCTAAATATTGCCTCTTCACTATCTCCATGTCGCTCCTCACTCACATTTGTCTCTGTCTCACATTTCCCCTTCTCTGTCTCCCTCTCTGTAAAACCATCTGTCCTTTCCTCAATGTGTCTCTCCATCCACCTTTCTGCCTGTCTTTCTCTCTGTCTCTCTCTGTCTCTCTCTCTCTCTGTCTCTGTCTCTGTCTCTCTCTCACTGGCAGCTTATTCATTCAATCTTTCTTTCTGCCTACTGCTTTGCTGTCCCTCTTTCTTCTTTCTTTCTCTTCTGTCTGTCTGCTCTGTCTTTCCTCTATCCCTGTCTTTTCTCTCTCTCCTCTCTTTTTGCTCTCTTTCCCCCGTCTTATCCCCTTTCTGCCCTCAAATTTCTCTCCATTACCACCCCCAAGATAAAAGTCCCTCTTTATTACCCTCCATGTACAAACCCACCTTGCTGAGCTCCACACCCTGGGCCCAGGGGTAAATGAGTGTGGACTGACTGGC